GCTTGCGAGTTAAAGCTACAAATCTGCAAATAACTCTAAGGATATTCAAGATATTCAAGAAATTATTTTTCGACAACCTTTCCGGGGATATACCTAATAATATCCCAAAATTTCACGGCGATTGGATGTATGGTTTTTGAATCTATAGAGAACACACACACACACATGCACTCATTTATATATATATATATATATATATATATATATATATATATCTTCTATATTAATAAAATGCAAATTTCATAAGAGGACATCACTAAAAACTTTCGTTACAATGCATCAATTTCAACCAAATTTTCAACATTTATGTAAAACGAGATGGAGCAGGTTTTGCTTAACATCAAAATATTTTTCCCTAACATTAACATGCGTAACTTCGCTGTTATCGATTAAATACAAAAAAAAAATCAACAGAGTTAATTTTATTTATATATAAATACAAAATTAAATTTCAACAGAGTTAATTTTTTTACATACTAGCTAATAATCTCAATCTAAAAATATAATATAAAAAGCCAACAATGAAGAGTGAATGTAAGATAAAAAGCCAACAATGAAGAGTAAATGTAATATAAAAAGCCAACAATGAAGAATGAATGTAAGATAAAAAGCCAACAATGAAGAGTGAATGATGTGAAGAATAATGATACAATTCCAAGGCGAAGATACTATTCCTTTAACTTCCAATTACCGAGGGAACCAATTAATATTGATTTTATTCAACTTATCGAGTATTTTTCAAGGGACCAGGAAAAAATGTTCACTAGATAAAACTATGATTTTCTAATGTAGAAAATTAGGAAAGACAAAATTCAGGATGACACATTATGTTCTGTTTCTCTATTGCCTGGAAAGATGGAAGGGAACAATGGGTGTGTATACGCTTAGATAAAGTTTTTATAATACTGATTTTTTGGGAATTGGGACAACAGGAAGTGTAATGCGTGTAGTTGGGGAGGAAATCTTTTTTGTAATATACGGTAGTGTGGTAAGAGTTTGGAGTTTGAATTATTAGAACATCAAGGAATGGTATTACACCCCCCTTGAGCTATTTCTATGGTAAACGACATATCCTCATTGTAACTGTTAAGGGATGCTAATATAGTTTCGTATGAACTCTGATCACAGACACAAAAGATATCATCTACATATCTGCGCCATAACACGATATCTGTTCTATGTTTTTCATTGATTGATTTGTCAACCATGATCATCACCAATTCTGCTGCAACTGTTGAAAACGAACTCCCCATTGGGGAACCCCGTATCTGTCTGTATGCTTGCGACTCAAATTTAAATACACTCATATTTAGACAAATATCTGCCAGGCATACTATTGTTTGTATGGTGGATGCATCGGTCTGTATTTCTGTCAGGAAGGCAACTATGCTTTCTCTAATAACTGAGTGGGGTAAGCTTAAAAACAATGAAACTACATCATAAGAGCACATTATGGTGTTTGGACCAGGGGAAATTTTCCATAACTCCTCAATGAAATTAGGTGTGTTGTGTACCCGTGAATCGTGTACCGCTCTTATGATGTAGTTTCATTGTTTTTAAGCTGCTTGCTGTAGGCTATTACCTTTTAACGTCCCAGTAGCGCAGTGGATAGCGCGTTGGACTTCTAATCCAAAGGTCCCGGGTTCGAGTCCCGGCTGGGATGTTTTTTTTTTTTGAGTGCGCTAACTGCTCAGCCAAGGGCCTCTCTGCCGACCACGAGGCAAGATCAATGTCTTGCCCAACTGCCAGAGCTAGAGCTGCAAAGTTCTAGTCCTTCCGCCTTCTTCTTGCCTCCTGATATCCGCGGACCCAATCCGGCCTAACCTGCCTCTTCCTGACGGAGATCCTGTCCCTAGCCTCCCCAGCCTGGTCATAGTGCTTTGTATATATTCCGCTTAATGCGGCCATTGAGGCTCAAAAATCATCTATTTTGGTTAGCAGCCCCGTAAATAAAGATATTTCCATTTTACATAGAATTTTGCAGATTTATTTTGAATTTTTTATAAAAAACTACTAAATTGCATATTTTCATTTTTAAAGTATTCCTTAAAACTTTCTATATTCTGTAAATTATTTTCCTTGAATACACTACAATTGATTTCATTTACCTAAATTTTCATATCAACACTGTACATATTAGTAAGTTTAATTTAATTGCCATCTATTGTTAAAATTTTACACATATAAATTTACTGGCAATGCGCTTCTTTTAAATATCATCAAATATTATCTCTACAGACCTTACTGCAATGATATGAGTTATTGAATGAGAGGGCTTGGCTCATCAGTAGTGAACCCTCTCAGCGGTTTCGCCAAATTAATCTCTAGACCGCTCTACTAGTAGAGTACTTAGTAGAGCGGTCTAGAGATTAATTTGGCGAAACCGCTGAGAGGGTTCACTACTGATGAGCCAAGCCCTCTCATTCAATAACTCATGTCATTGCAGTAAGGTCTGTAGAGATAATATTTGATGATATTTAAAAGAAGCGCATTGCCAGTAAATTTATATGTGTAAAATTTTAACTGTACATATTCCCGACAGCCATGAACCAGGATTGAATCCCGCGTTAACATTTTATTTAATATGTGAATAACCTTCACATATTATTCGTTGTTTCAATTATCATAAACTAGGTTGCTCTTTTTTAGCGGTATCTAATGAAGTGATTTTGGAACTGGAATCTAACTAAATTACATGCTAATTTTTGTACATATTTCAAATAATATCTCTTTTTTTTTTCTTTCTATGTTTAGTTAATCTTTAAAGTGAAAGTGTCCCTAGGGGAGCATACCGCTCTAAAGTCAAAATAAAATATCATTTAGTTGTTCATTTTCACATAATATTATGATAATAATAATAATTGTGCATAAATATGTAAAAAAAAGTCATTCTAAGTGTAAAGTCAGACTTTTACTGTTGCTTCATCCGCTCCACGAGATTGTATTTCGGTAATGTTTACTTGTGAAGGATCAAAACCAATGTCTCTACTATAAATTTTATAAAATAAATATTTGATGAAAATAAAGATACTTCGGCCAATAAATATTTTTATTACTTCGACGTTTCGACAAAAATCTTTTGTCCTCGTCAGGAGCAAACAAAAATTAAAACCTTTGGCGAGGCGTTAATAAAAATATTTACTGGCCGAAGTATCTTTATTTTTAAGAAATATGAATGCCGGAGAGGCATCCTCTATCTTTACAATAAATATTTGAGTTTAGTCTGTAAGAAATGTGCAGTCGTGGCCGAGTGGTTAAGGCGTTGGACTCGAAATCCAATGGGGTCTCCCCGCACAGGTTCGAATCCTGTCGGCTGCGTTTTTTTTTTAAATTAAATTAATTTTTATTTCAGTAGTGTGTTTTGTAATGCATATGCGTGATATGGGGATTATATTAATATATATATTTTAAGTTTTTTTTAAAATTATTTTGAAAGCAAAAACATTTTTTCCACTTCACCGTGTGTGATTCTCTACTGCAACAATCCATACGCACCCTTGTCCCACTGTGACAAACACTTGGAAGGATTTGACATGTGGACTGGATAAGATATGATAGCTATGAAAATGGCGTCATTTGAGACAAGGGCACGCTCAAGAACAATAAAGGTTAAAAATTCCTTTCCTTTGACAATATTCCATTGAATTCAGCATATATGGCAGAGTCACCTTTTACAAGGTATGTCCCATAAGTTCCCGGACTGGGTCCATAAAAAAAAAAAAGGTAAATTTTTTTTTTAAATTTTTTATTAAAACTTTTCAAAGTAATCCCCCCTTGCTTCAACGCACCAGCGCCATCGTTTCTCCCAATTGTCGAAACAGTTTTTATAAGCCTCTTTTGGAATGCTCTTCAATGCTAACGGCGATTTTTCTATTAAGTCATCCCTGGTGTCAAAATGTCTTCCTTTTAGAACTGCTTTAAGTTTGGGGAACTGGAAAAAGTCATTTGGTGCAATGTCTGGGGAATAGGGTGGTTGAAGTAGGATTTCTGTCCCGTTTTTAGCCAAAAAAACTCGTCACCAAGTGCGCTGTGTGAGGGCGGGCATTGTTATGGTGTAGGATCCAGTCACCATTAGGCCATTTTTCTGGCATTTCTTTTCGAATCGCTTCCCTTAGATGGCGAAGAATGTCCAAATACATTTCCTTAATAACCGTTTGGCCTGCAGGAAGATACTCGTGATGAACAATGCCCTTGTTATCCAAAAAAGCGACCAGCAACACCTTGTTTCTGGATTTCAATATCCTGGATTTTTTTGGTCTAGGCTCACCCTGACCTCTCCACTCGGCATATTGACGCTTGGTTTCAGGGTCATAGTCATAGACCCATGTCTCGTCGCCTGTGGTTATCTTGTCTTTCCATTCCGGATCCGTTCTTGTCATTTCCAACATGTTCTCACAGGTTGCAAGCCGACACAGTTTTTGCTCATTAGTGAGGAATCTTGGGATGAATTTTGCAGGAGTCTTTTTGAGCTTCAAATCTTTGGTTACGATCCTTCCAATCGTTGTTTTAGAGATGCCTGTGTCTTGCTCTAGCTCCAGCAAAGTGGTTCGAGGATTTTCTTTTATCAAATCGGTGATTTTTTGCACATTTTGGGCGTTCTTGCCGAGGATCATCTTCAATAGAAATTCTGCCAGCTTTAAATCTAGAATGTCATTCAAAAACAGTTGTTCTTTTTGGGGGGTCATTGGGGAATGCTTTATTAGGCATTTTAAAAGTTTCGGTTGCTGATATTTGAAGTTTCACACAAATTTCTATGCAAATCCTCTGCTTCAATTTTTGTTCCATCGTAAAATCGCCGCAGCGCAAGGTGTAACCTTTAAATAAATTAGAATAACTTTGGCGCACGCGCACGTACCGCCTCGATATTGGTACCACCGTGTTGCCAGATATTTTTTATATAATAAACTGTCAAATTTATTTACATTTTTCATTTATTTATTTTTTTATGGACCCAGTCCGGGAACTTATGGGACATACCTTGTACATAGCATTTTTCGCCTACGGCCATACCACATTGAAAACACCGGTTCTTGTCCGTTCACCGAAGTTAAGCAATGTCGGGCCCGGTCAGTACTTGGGAGGGTGACCACCTAGTGCTGTAGGCTATTACCTTTTAATGTCCCAGTAGCGCAGTGGATAGCGCGTTGGACTTCTAATCCAAAGGTCCCGGGTTCGAGTCCCGGCTGGGATGTTTTTTTTTAGTGCGTCATTTGAGACAAGGACACGCTCAAAAATAGTAAAGCTTAAAAATTCCTTTCCTTTTCTCCATTTCCTTTATCCTCGGCATCTACTGAGAGTTCTTGACCATCTCTAGGATCTGACTGAGATGGTCTATCAGCTCTTGTACAGTCTTCTAGATATATTTCATATTTACATATTGCCTTTTCACAAATTCTGGAGAACAGCACAATCAAAAGGCGTAATAGAGAAGAGGAATACAACTTAAGAAAAGATTGATGTTATTCTCTACTTTCTGTAGATACATTTTATTAATACAAAGCAATAACGCACCATCTATATATAACGAATGAAGACATTGTGTCTCGAATGTTTCTTTTCACAAATAAATCAAACTTCTACTATCCTTACTGAGGTTATTCACATATTAAAATAAAGTTTCCAATGCGGGATTAGATCCCGGTTCATGGCTGTTGGGAATCGAGAGTTTTAACCACTTGTCCACCGACTTCTATAAAAGAAATGTTCCAAAAATCACTTTATTAGGTACAGCTCAAAAAGAGCAACCTAGTTTATGATAATTGCAACAATGAATAATATTTTAAAAAATAAGGCTTATTTTGGATTGTAATAAGATTATTTATTAATCCGATATTTCGATGGACCAATCTTCCATCTTTTACGTCTGGTGGCTCACCTGGGGGACGCGACCTGCTGCGTGCTTCACGGCAAAATACCTCGTAAAAGATGGAAGATTGGTCCATCGAAATATCGGATTAATAAATAATCTCATTACAATCCAAAATAAGCCTTATTTTTATAATATACATATATTATGGATTGCTCTATATTCAGAATGAATAATAAGTGAAGGTTATTCACATATTAAACAAAAGGTTAACGCGGGATTCAATCCCGGTTCATGACGGTCGGAAATCGAGGGTGTTACCCACTCGTCCACCGACTTATTATCTATAACAGAAATGTTTATAACGTTATTTATATACAGTGGACCCTCGGTTTACGAGCACCTTGGAGTACGAGCTTTTCGCAGTACGAGCAAAATTTTTGAAAAATTTTACCTCGGATTACGAGTGAAATTTCGCATTACGAGCAACTCGTGATGGTTGCCCGTAATCGTGATGGGTGAAAATTCACTGGGATCCCTCCCTTCAGATCAGATTCGGGAAATATGTAAAATGTGGGAAACTGTGCAATTGTTCGTAGTAAGAAGAATTGCCCAGGTTTCAATTATTAAAAATAAGAAATTAGTTTCGCACTACGAGCGTTTTGGAGTACGAGCATGGCTCTGGAACGGATTATGCTCGCAAACCGAGGGTCCACTGTATGTGAAAAAATAGTACAAAAGTGAAATTGTACTGGGATCAGGTGGATAAATTAAGAAAAAGACATCTCCTGACCGTGAAAATAAAAGTTGCTGATGGCTTGCACCATCTGCCGGAATAAATATCGACTAAACGGTGATTTTTAATTAAGAATGGTTATTTGGCCAATTCTGGAATAAATAAAAATTAACGATTAGTTGATATTTATTCCGACAGATGGCGCAAGCCATTAGCAACTTTTAGTTGCACGATCAGGAGATGCCTTTTTTTCTTAAGTTGTTTATTTAATTATTCTAGTAAGAAGCATCGATCCTCATAAAAAATAAGTACTTATATTGTAACGTAGAAATCAAGCCTTGAAATATCCTAAGATGTAAAAGTATTTATTGATGACGTCACGGCGACAAGTCGACAATTATTAATTACTCAACCCCCCTATCTCCCGCTAGAGAATCTTAAGCAAGCAAGCAAAGCGATATTTTAAAGATGATTTCACAAATACAGATTATTATATATATTTTTAATCTGTTGAATATATTTTCATTGAATAATATTAAATTAAATAATAAAATATTTCTTCGTCACATAGTCTCCTCCTATAGAGAGCATCGACCCGATGCTCAGCAGGAAACTTACGTCGTCAGTCTTAAGAACTAGTACCATGGCCAGGAATATTTTCAGGTGACTGCGGTGGATGTCTTCTTTCAGTTGAGATATCTTCTTCATGAGGACTTGGTAGGTCTATGTTTACGTCAAGGTAGCTTTTTCTCATTTCTACTGTGGTCGGTAAGGGGGGATTTTATAACTTTGCGGCCTCACCTCCAATGTGGTCTATCATCTAGTTTTAATGGCGGGGCGTCCAGCTAGATCTTCTAGCAGGTGAGAAATGTTGTCTGTTTCGACCGCGATATGAAGTAGGGCTTCGGTAGCGAGTGAAAGTTTTCCTCGATGATTCGTCATTGGGGTCCTGAGATTCAGCTCGAGAGTTGTAGGATACCATTGCGTCTTGCTTTCTTTGGAAATAGTCATTTCTCCTTTCCTCATTGGGTCTCTTCCTGTCACGGCAATAGCGGACGACGTGACCTGGGCGTCCGCAGTAGAAACAGATTGGCCTTCCCTCAGTTGTACGCCAATCATTGGTGTCGCGTCTTACTCCTTGTTTTGGGTATCGAGGTTCAGGGTGCGGTCTTATCGTTTCGGCCTCATATCTAGTATTTAAAAACTGTCGGGGTCTTTCCTTATGAGGGGGACTTCTCCTAGACTTTGAGATTGGCGCCAGGGTTCTTCCAATCTCCTCCTTTACAATTTCTTCGATTGTAGCATTTTTTGGTTCCTCCCGAGGAGAGCCTAATGCCCGCTGTACCTCCTCACGAACAATTTGCCTAATCAAAGATGACAGATCTTCTCCGTCATCCTGGTCACAGAGAGAGGCTACATTTGGTAGGCGCTCGTACCTGGTTGGGGTAACTCGCCTACAACGGAGCGCTTCGACACGGCGACATTCTGTAATGAATTGCTCGGTGCTCTGTACATCCATCGGTAGGAGTGCTTGATAAAGCTCCTCAGCTATCCCCTTCATGAGGTGGGAGATTTTATCTTCCTCGCTCATTTGAGGATCAACCTCTTTGCACAAGCACAGGACATCCTGGATGTAAAATTCGGTACTTTCACCTTTTAATTGTGCCCGTGTTTTAAGTTTCTTCTCCGCTTGCATTTTTGAATTTTCTTTTTTTCCAAACACATTCTCTAATTGAGATGTGAATTCCTTCCAAGTCTGTATGCTTCCTTCGTTGTTCTCAAACCATTTGAGAGCAGTTCCAGACAGATAAAAATAAACTTTAGTAAGACAAAGGGTTTCGTCCCAATGGTTGTACCTTGCCACACGTGCATAGCCTTTTAACCATTTTTGGAGATCTTCTCCATCCTCCCCGGAGAAAATGGAAGGGTTCCTTGGCAGATGTTGAACAACGTAGTTGCTTACCTGGGTACCTGCTTCCGTCTTTACATTCATAGAAGTTTCTTCTGGTTCAACAGAATCAATTTTTCTTTTATTTCTTAATGGGTATCGGTCCAGTCTCTCCACCAGTTGTAACGTAGAAATCAAGCCTTGAAATATCCTAAGATGTAAAAGTATTTATTGATGACGTCACGGCGACAAGTCGACAATTATTAATTACTCAACCCCCCTATCTCCCGCTAGAGAATCTTAAGCAAGCAAGCAAAGAGATATTTTAAAGATGATTTCACAAATACAGATTAATATATATATTTTTAATCTGTTGAATATATTTTCATTGAATAATATTAAATTAAATAATAAAATATTTCTTCGTCACAATATTTTTAGTTTTCTTTCAAATCGTTTTCTTCTTTCTACCTTTATTGCCGTTGCAAATCATATACAATTGAAACGTCTTTAATTCATATATTTATCTTGTTCCCTAGAATTTCCTATAAATAGAATTTAGGGTTTTGATTCGAATTTTTGGATAATTCAATTTTTTGTCCCTTGGTCTTCGAATTATCCAAGTTCTACTGTACATATATTATTTCAATTAATTGTTGAATAAGGATCATTAAGATATCATCTTTATAAAGAGAGTTGAGTTAAAGAGGATATGTCGTGTGAATGTGTAGGTGGAATAATAATTAAGAACTGTGCTCGAAAAGTTCTGGTAGTACACAAGGAATGGTAGGCCACGCAGGCCCTGAGTGACGTGAGAGAGATGAGACATGTCACGAAATACTCATATTGCCTATAGATGGAAATTTGACCGTGAGGATATTGATCTATAAAAATAAAAAGACGAACCGCTCTCGTCAAAATAGATATCAAAAATAGAAGCCATCTATTGACCGTTTACGATAACTATCGGTCTCGGGTCAGTAACAAAGCCACAACACCAGCTTTGGCAAACTGAGAAGCCTTCACATAGAGACTATGGTTTCGGGCTAATGGCTCTCTTCAGTCTAGTTCAGACTTTATCACATCGGTTCAAAATCACATTAATAGGTACCGCTCATCAAGAGCAACCTAGTTCATGATAATTGAAACAGTGAATAATATAGGTGAAGGTTATTCACATATTAAACAAATTTTAACGCGGGATTCAATCCCGGTTCATGACTGTCGGGAATCGAGCCTGTTACCCTCTCATCCACCGACTTTTTGCTTTTATCACATGAGATCCACAAGAGATCTAATGGAATCTTTACAATCCGTCGAAGAGGTGTTTAGCTGGCAAAGTGGCTAGGCCAAATCTATTGCTGCTAATTTGCGGCGACGGTCAATAGATGTTCATTATGTTAATTTTGAAGGGAGAGGTGTTTTTTGTCTTTTATAGATCATATTGCCTTGTTCATCTAAACGGTGGGCAGTCTGGAGGAGGACTCTCTCAAGGTGAAGAAGCCTTCCTTACTGAAGAAATTTGTACACATACACAACTATATATATATTCCCCTACATTTTATCTACCCTTTATTTACTATTTTATTATATATTTTTCCACCTTTGTAACAATTGATTAGAAGAATCAATTAAAATTGTTTAAACGGTGTGCAAGATTTGTGACGTTTTAAAA